CACCGCTCTTTTTTAATATTTACAGCGAACAAATATGCCAAGAAGCTCTCTCACATGCAAACGAAGGGAGAATGGAGCGGATGATCTACAACATCTAGTTGAAAGTATGAATGAGATATGTAATAACTATGACATAAGGATGAACGTCAAAAAAACCAAATGTATGACCTAAGTAAGAATCCAATATATGACACTAGTGTAGGTATAGCAATAAACGGTACCCAACTCGAAAAAGTAAGCAAATACAAATTTTTGGGAACCCCCATCATTGAAACAGGTGACCAAAATCACGAGATTAAAATACGTATTGAAATTGCCAGGTATACCTTTATAAAAATGAAAAAATTCTTTTGTAATCGTGATATTAGTATTCAGCTACGAACTCTTCTTCTTCTTCTTCTTCTTCTTCTTCTTCTTTTAATGGCGCTACAACCTTTTGTGAGTCTAGTCCTGCTTAACAATATTTTTCCATTCTGCCACATTCTGGATACTTTCCTTCGCCACTGCCTGATGTTTATGGTTTTAAGATCTCTCTCTACGTCGTCTATCCATTTTTATGGGGCCTTCCTCTTGATATGTTTCCTTGGGGCTTCCATCTATGGACTACTTTTACAGCTCGATTATCTGGCATTCTTTCTAGGCGACCAAGCCAGTTTAGTCTTTGTGACTTTACAAATCTAACAATATCTGCGCTCTGCATTAGTTCATCCAGCACGTGGTTCATTTTAATTCTCCACGAACCATCGATGCATTTGGTTGGTCCAAATATCTTGTTTATATGATGCAGCTACGAACTAGAATAGTAAGATGCTATGTATTCAGTACTTTGCTTTAGGGTTTAGATGCATGGACTCTTAAACAAAGGAATGTTAAAAATCTTGAAATCTTTGAGATGTGGTGCTCTCGTCGTACACTAAAAATAAGTTGGGTGGATAAAATTACAAATGAAGAGGTAATACGCAGAATAATAACCATCCAGAAGTTATACTGAATATAAAAAAGAGAAATACTTAGGCCACCTGATGAGAGGACAAAAGTACACATTCCTACAAAATATAATGCAAGGAAAAATCCAAGGACGCAGAAATCCAGGCCGTAGAACAATGTCCTGGATGAGAAATTTAAGAGAGTGGTTAGGCTGTACCACTAACGAATTATTCAAAACAGCCGTTAATAAAATTAGAATCGCCCTAATGATATCCAATCTCCGATAGACGAGGCACTCAAAGAAGGAGAAGAACCTCAAAAATCTCCTTCCACCGTCTCTTTTTAACCCATCAATTTTCTCGGATTTTTATTTATTTTAAAAACAAACAAAACTTTTTAATTTCTGAAGAAGTCACTTACATTTCAAGCATTTTTTCTATGAATTTTGATAACGAAACACATTTATCGATTTTACATATTTTAAATCTAATATTAATACATTTTATACTAAGAGTATAATATGTTTTTTATGATAAAAAAACGACACATTCCAATCTTGCAAAATTATTTTCAAATAGTTTCTTGTGGTAATAAATTGGAAATTCGTGAATGAATCAAGTCGGCCCATGGGCAAGTAGTAATATAGAGTCTCACGTCTTATTACTCTTTAAGTGCATGTATTATTCTTCACGACATATTTTGAGTTTGTAGCTTTATTTAGCAAAAACATTTTTTGATCTTTATACCCATATTTCGTTGAGTAGGCTATAAATATTCATATAGAAAGCTATCTGCTGCTTTGTTAGTTTTAAACTTACTGTATTAATAAAATAAGTCACATTGTAAACATAAGGTAATCTTTTTTGCGTGAGCCGTCAAAGCGCCGAAAGAGAAACTGCCATAAATCAACCGGTATAATGAAGAATAAATCCGAAAACATTCCTCCGCCTCACCAGAAATACACCTCAATGAGTTCTATTATACTCTACTGACTTCAGTACATGTGTTAATTCTTCGCATGTGACGGTATAAAATAAAATTTATAATGCCGCCTTGATGTGACATATGTGATGATGCTCCTGTTAAAATGACACTCGCAGTGTCCCCGTGTATTATAATTATTATACAAATCCTTTACGTTCTCCAAATTTCTTGGAACATATAATAATTAGTCGCCGTTACAGATGAATGAATTACTTACAAATGGTTGAAATGTTTGTTTTATGATGATATCTATGTAAAACATGTGTAATAATTGGGACGGTAAGTGATTTAAGAAGTGACGTTAAACTTAATAAGAGAGACAACATTAAATAGACGAAAATATTGTACTAAATTACTGTCTTTTGAAGAGTGCAAGCATAAGATACTTATTATATAGACAATAAGTCAAAATAAGTAGGTTTTAAAATGGGGTTTTATATAAATATTTAGTGTGGTCAGATTCAATTTCAATTTAGATTGAATTAAAATTGGATTACGATTAAGGATTAAGAGTAGCGAATACAAATCTTAATTGTTTCCTTTCGTTAAATATGTGTTTCTGGCAGGTAAGTCTTTTATCCAAATATATGTCTAAATATGTTACGCTAGAAACTTTTTATGTGCTCTTTTCATTTCGTTATATGTAATAGTGATATGTACTTACATTAAGAGGCTAGTTATTATTAGTACATCATGTTTATCACTAAATCACTGAATGTGAAGACTGAAGGTAACATTGACTGGCCTTACGGTATAATAAATATAGTCTGGAGCCCAATATAAGTTCCCGTGGTACATTTAAATAAATTATCCACAAATAAGAATCTAATACATATAACCATTTTCATATTTCATGGAAGTTGTTTGGTACTGTATTTCTTATTTATTACAAAGCGAAGATTGCAAACTTTATTAAATCCTTGACTGCTATATTTTAATCTAGTTTAATACAACCTTCAAGCCGAAGTTAATATGTATTACTGAACAAGACTCATTTTAGCCTCTGTCTGAATTTCAGTAAAAAATGATCATTTTTAAGGATCTAAAGGAAATTTTTATCATCATCCAAAGTATTCAATCTCAGTTACTGAACAGAGGCCTTTACCGATAAATGTTTTTTATCTCTCTTTTTATTGGTTTTTAGCTGCTATAACCAATATTAATATTATTTTGAAGCTATGTTCTTGTGGAATATTAATACAATTTACTGTTTGTACTGGGAAATAGTCACAATTTCATTTTACCGGTTGGATTTCCATTTTTGAAGTTTTTTGTTGTCAAAATAAACTTATTTTAAAGTACAATAATTGTGGCTTGTTCCCAGTAACAATATTAAATTGTTCTAACCAATATTTTTCTGGTCTTTTTAATTACGCAGATTTATAATTTTAACGAGCAACTTTTTGTCACCGTTCATATTTGATTCTGGTCATTACTTATATTACTTTCAACAAAATATTCAATCTGAAAAACTGAAAAAGAAAACGAATAATATTTGTTTGTACAATTAGTTAAATATTTATAAATAGAGCTTAACCAAATATTACTTGGAAAAGTTTAAATTATATAATATATATTTTTAAAACAGGAGATTTAAAAGGATAAACTTCAAATTCGTGGTTTTTGTTATAATATATGGTGTAAAGTATATTAGTTAACTGCAAAAAAAACCAAGCAAAAAATTAAGAAAAGCGCCGAGTAAGATTTCCGAAATTAAAGTTTTTTATTAAATTAATAATTTATAAATAAAATTTGTGATAATGACAACAATAAAAATCTGGGGAATATCAATTGAAATATGATCGCACTAATGCAACCCTACAAAATATTATGACGTCCTCCCAGGAGAATGTGCAGACCCTTTTATAGCATTATTTCAGTTAATATACAGTAACTGAATTACAACCGAAATTTGATTCAGTTATGTGTGGGTTTACCATGATGTGAATCTATTTTTGGTATTAGCCATCCGCCAGATGAATATTACCCCGTAATTAAATTGTTTCATTTATTAATTATCTGTAGTGCCTCTATTTTGTAGGTAGTTTTCATTACTGAATATTTATAATAGTAATAATTACTTCGTTTATGAATAAATTTATTGTTAGTAATAGCAAAACAGTATCTGTCATTGTCATCTCTCTATTTTCATCAAAAGCGCTTCTAATGTGTATCTTCTAAAGCATTTTGTTTTAATTTATCATTTTAATTTATAATTTATAATAAACGTTCTCTTAGTGTTTAACGTAGGTCTCTAGTCATGCAATTTGTTGTGATACGCTTTATATTGCCTGACCATGTAGTTAGTAAGCACGCTGTGGTTCCATGTTGCTATTTTAGATACTCCTGATCATTTCAACTACATTCACAAAACTGTCTTATGGTCTATGCTTTCAATTTTTTAACAACAACAACAACGTGTGTCTGAGTGTAAGTCTACTTGAAAGATATGACACGAAAACAAGTCCATAAGCCACAGAATATTTTATGTTTGAAGATATTTTTTGTTCAAGAAAAACAATGGTTTTTCTTATTTCTGGTCTCTACATTTCTTTGCTGGAGATAATACTTGTGCTTAAATATTTTGGATAAATTCTGCTTCATAAGATATGTGAGACACATTGGTTTACCAATTTTTCCTAGAAAAGACGGGACTATTCTACTTATAAACTTTGTTAAATCTGACAAATACTGCTCACATAATATCTATTTTTCTGTGCTTTCACTTGTCTAATTATCCCGATCTAGACTAATCCAATGCACATGATAGTTTAAGATTTGGGTATGATAAGATTGGTTGGGTAATTTTATGACCTATTACTTAAATTTGGTTAGATGCAATACAATGTCATCTTAATACTACAGACATTGGCCGTTTATGATTAAACCATAATAAATTGACCAACATTTTATTACATCAACTAAGATTTTACGATACAGCAACATCTTTCCTGTGACATCAACATCATGCTCTTGATTAAATAATAAAAGACCATTTCTTAAATATTAACTTTGGTTAATAACTTAAAAATATTGAGTATCAAACTCTATTCTATATTTAAACAATATTATGTTTCCTTTGTTTTCAGGTATTACGAAACGGGTAGCTTTAAGGCCGGTGTAATCGGCGGTTCCAAACCAAAAGTTGCAACTCCACCTGTAGTTGATGCTATCGCTAACTACAAAAGAGAAAACCCCACGATGTTCGCCTGGGAAATTCGTGATAGGCTTCTGGCCGAAGGAATTTGCTCCCAAGACAATGTACCTAGTGTATCTTCAATTAATAGGTAAGTGAATTATACTGAGATTATTAAGCCTTGCAGAGATAGAACTGTTGCAGTAGAATTTTGAGTAATCTAAAAGAGTTTCATTGTTAATATTCTTTAAGAACATAAAGAAAATATAGATTTTGCTTCAGATTTTTAAATCTTACATTTATTTTAAACATTTTATTTAAATTTCATTGGTGAATAATTACAAAGGTATTACAAAAATATCACGTTGTAAAGCCCAAATTATATATATATATATATATATATATATATATATATATATATATATATATATATATATATACTTAATATATATATATATATATATATATATATAAACTTTTGTGTTCCTTAAATATTTTTCGTATGTTTACATTTTCAGTAATAAATTTAAGTTAAATCTCTCTAATATGTTAAGACCAGTAGTAAACTGAACATAGATTTAAATGGAAAGATTTATGTTGAGTCCTAAAAGTCCTAAGAGAAGAACAGAAATAAAACATATGATACAAAGAGAAAAATCAAGGAAATGTTAAATGGAACCAATTGCATCGCAAATTCCTCGGCAGAATGGAGTAGGATCTGGATGTTAATATTAAAAGAAGAAATGAATGGAAAGAAAATACCACTATTAGTAAGTCAATTACATATCAAAAAAACATCATTTATGTTTTATAGTATGAAGCATGAGCATATCGTGAAAGAAATGAGCAGGAATCAAGTACACTGATAATTAGCTAAAAAATCGATTCACCACTTACTCCAACAGGACAGCGTTCTACAACTTAAACGTAAAAACACTATACTCAATAAAATCCAAGTGTATGTACCCACAGCAGATAGAGAATAGAATGAAATTAAAGAATTTTATGCAGGAATAACGAACATCACAAAAAGAAACCCCACAGTACCACAGTAATATTATTCTGAGCATCTTTAATGCAAAAATAAGCAAATCAAGACTAGCTGATATCACTGGAGGATATAGTGACAGGAGTGATAGTTTTGTTCAATTTTGTCAAAAATTGGAATATGTGGTATCAAGTACTTGGTTTGAACTACCTCAAAGACGAAACTCTACATGGAAAAAACCTGAAGACAATAATCAAACGATTGTAAGAAATTAAATTGATTTTGCTTTAATTCACCATTGATTTAAATGAAGTATCCAAAGTTCAAAAATCTAACCAGGCATGGACGTAGAGTCAGACTGCAGTCCAGTCGTTATGAATCGCAGACAAAAACTAAAAACAATTAGCAGAAGCAAACCAAGAAAGTGCAATACTAAAATACTTTGAAACGAAGTTAACAAAGGAAAAGTAGCAACCAACAATACAAAGAGAAGAAATTAAGAATACGGAAAGTAAGAAACGGAATAAAAAATGACGGAACACATTTTTTGGAACTTACGGAAAAAAAAAACACAGAAACAATTCACATCTATATAAAGAAATCCCAAGAGCCATCGATTTATAAATTAAAGAAACAAAGGAAAAGTTGATCAATGAAATGAGTGACAAAATAGAAAACCTAGAAAATATACATGATACATTTTACTTTTACAAAAAATTAAAAGAAATTTTCTATAACAGCAAGAAATATAATATTGTTAATCGTTAAAAAACTACAGAAAATTAAGCTAGATCAAAGACTTACGTATAATTCAATACCTGTATTGGAACCAAGAAGCAACTTTTAAATATTCCAACCAGACTTTCACGAAGAAAATTTAGATTAGTCAACCCGATATAGAGGGATCTCTTGTCCTGCTGAAGGATATCAACTTCTTCCGGTCGTTCCATAGTTCCTCTTCTATGTTTCTGTTTCTCAGTACTTTGTCTATTCCTTTTATTCAAATTGTTCTTCATTTACTTTGTTTTTTCTGCCTTCTGGTTACAATTTTAGCATTTTTTTTGGTATTCGTTGTTTATTAATTTTTTTTATATATCCGAAACAGACAAGTCATCTGTCATCGATCGTTTAATTTCCATTTATTACTCTAAAGCGTTTGTTATTAAGAATACTTTTTCTTCTAGATTTTCGTGCCACTATTCTCCAAAAATCCATCTCCGTTGGTCTTAGCATCGCCAATGTTCTTTGTTTTAGTGGTCATACTTCACAGTTGTATAGAGTGATACTTTTCACTAAAGTTGACTACCGTTCGAAATATTAATACCTAGATATTTGCATTCGTAACACTGCTTTATAATGGTTCTGTCGTCCAATATGAGATCTTTTTGTTGCTCGCAATGTACAAAAATTAGGTTTTGTATTGAAATCTAGATTCTATATATGGTACTCTTTAATAAATTTTTGGGTAGTTTACTACTTCATACTAAATCGTCATAACCTTGAGCCCATATTATTTGATCTGCAAGGTTGGGCGTATAAGTGGAAACAGCCACCATCCTTGCTTTAATTCCTTTGATGTTACATAACTAGTTGATATTTGTACCCCAATGTATATTTTTGTTACGGGTTGATTGTATAGTACTTAAATGACCTTAAGAACTTTAAATTAATACTTTAAATTAATTGCGACAGCTTCTTCAGTGGGACGCTATCGTAAGCTTTTCGTAGGTTAACCAGCAACATATGGTTAATAGTGGCTCGTTCCTTACGCAATGTGCTTTTGCTTGAGAATCTTAGATATTACTTATATAGATTATTTTAAATTTATAATTAATCTACAGAAATTATTAACTGAATAAGTACTAAGAAGATTTAAACTTCGTTATTTAATTTAAATTTAATTTAAAATATAATAAAATAATTATATACCCTGTATATCTGCTTTATTACGGTAAACGTAAAATATGTTGATTTTAAATGTAATAAAGACATTGTCTTTCCGAGGCGAAAAAAAGAATAGCGAAGAAAAACGGAAAAAATGAGTACTTTTCTCTCCTTAATAACGAAAAGTTTGGAAAATGATGTTTTCCATGCAGATATTCCCACAAAAAGCGAACAGTTGATCCCGACGTAAACTTGGAAAAACAGTATTTCTGAATCTCCGCTGTTCTAATTGCGATGACACAAAAACACCGAGCGCCAGCCCATTGTTTGGAGTAGTCTTCCGCTGTTTCTACTCAGCATGGCGTCATGTCCGTTTCCGGAAAGCCCCCTCGGCCCCCGCTGTTTTCGACCAGAATTTATCATTTGTTTCATTGTACCAGCCAAGATGACATTAACCATTAGGAGTTTAGTTAAAAAAGGACGATAAATTTCGGCTTATGTACAAGGTTAAGTGGTCGCCAATTTATATACGTATATCTTTTGTTTTCCTTTTCTATTCTCCTTTGAAATATTTAGTGTACGGAGGTAGCACCATATTTCATAGATCATAAAAACTAAGAATATGAGAATAGTCGAACTCATAGTAGGGAACATTTTCCAAAAAAACTGAGAGAAATTAGGATTATTACTAAATGTACGTATACTGTTTAGTATAAATAGCTTTTTCTGTTATTATAAGTAAATATTATTATCTAGTTTATAGGTATAGATAAATATAAAACTACAAAAAAATAAATAAATAACAAATATTAAAGCTAATAGAGATGACCCGTTATAGTGGAATTTGTTAATTATAAAAAGTATTCTGAGTTTAAGTTGAAAAACTAGACTTTAACGTTAAATATAACTGATATATCAGTAATAAAATATGTGTACAAGGCTCCCTATATTTTTAGAAAAATGTCTTCGGCGATTCTAAGCACTATCATTACAGCTTCCATAGTAATTCCACAATCTCTCTAATTTAAAATCAGCTCATTTTCTTATAGCCACTATTATGATTACTTTAACTGTAAAAACAAAGTTTTTTAACCAAGTTTATATTTCTAAACATTATTATACTATTAACTACTTCTATTACAGTTACTGTGATTAGTATTCCTTGTTCTCACAATATTTTTTAAAATATTTATTTAACCAAAAGAAGAGCCCTTAAGCATTTATTGAGATTTTTTAACATTTTGTTGATATGAATACAATAAATAATTATTTAAACACAGTGTTTTGAGGTTTGCGATTATTACAAAAAAATTTGGGAGATTACCTTATACAAATACATATGTCACCTATGCAAATAGAAATAAAAGAATCAATTGGCACACTGTTTTTAGTACTATTTTCCAATCTCGTTTAAGATTATAATTTTTTCAGTTTTTGTCAACAGCGTGAACTCCATCTTGCAAAACTGCATACGAAGGGGGATGGGATATATCCTCGTTATAAGTAAAATAAAAATCTAAGAGTTTTCTAAGTAACTCCCCTAATAAACCTAATAAAACCAATTTTGATTTTAAAACTAACCAATGACGCACTGTCAGTATGTGTGGCAAATTTTTATTCCTATATTTTTACGCCAATAAATAAAGATTTTGTAATACTCTACCTTCAATACAACATAATATAATAGAACATATAAAAAAGATTTTCAGTTAAAGGATTAATCTCTATGAATTTTAATTGATAATGCATGAATGTCACATGAAACCTTAAAAGAATGGTAGAATGAGTACCGTTTATATTAATAAAATTCCGGAATTGTTGTGTTTTACATCATTTTATATTTGTAAGTATTGACATAAGACTAAAAAAAAATTAGAAAGTGTTTAACCAAAAAAATATATTCGGCGGAAAGATAAATTTCATCAGAGAGATCAAAGACATGCTCCAAGAACTGAATGGCATACTACAAGAAACTGGGCTGGAGATAAATTTCGCGAAAGCCAAAATAATGACCAATATGGTTCGCAGCGAAGAGATGCAGATCAATAACAACAAGGTAGAATTAATCGATAAATACACATACTTGGGTCATGAAATTAGAATAACCAGAGACAACCAAACCTGCAAGCTAAATAGACGAATCATGTTAGAATGGGCGGCATATGGACAGATGAGAGACATTTTTAAAACAAATATCCCAATTCACCTGAAAAGGAAGGCATTTAACCAATGCATCTTACCAGTCTTGACCTACGGAGCAGAGACCTTAACTTTAACGA